AATGAATGCGAGTTCGCGGCTGTCAAGCGTAAACGAACTCGGAATAGATAAGGCGGAAGAGAATGCGATAGCTGATGCTTGCGGTCGCTGGATCCAGATACATGGTCTACCCACCGCTGCTAATATTGTGCCATGGGTTCATGCCATAGACGCCTTCTCCTGGCCACCATTGGGTGAGAGTTAGTTTACACCATTCTCCATGATAAGATTCAGGACACCAATCCGTAAGCGTCAGTGAAATGACCAAGCGATAGAACAGCTGACTTTCAAATGTACATTTATTCGAAGGCATGAGCTTAGGAGCCGAGTCGTTTTCCTGTCAGGTGTGGGCGCCTTGCCAGTATACTGGCCATGAATCCATTCCCTTCGAAGGTTAGAAAATGGTCGATGGTCCAATTCCCTAAAACTTAATCATGGGAGACAAGAGGTCCACAAGTTATAAGCTCACTGCTCCATTGGCGTAGAGCACGAGCGCCACACATTGTTTCCGATGGTTGGATGGCACCTCCGGGTGCTCAATGGTTTGCTACTGCCCGTCTCAAGTAGGACAGCCCCTGAGTAAATTTATGCAAACCGACAAAACCCTCCTGCGCCTGGTCGTGGTCTTAGGTGCGTAGCCTACTACCGGCGCACACCAAAAACGAATTGTTCCTGAACTTTAAAAGCTGGGTGTGACGGATCTCAAGCAGATCCGAATCAGTCTCTGCAATCACATTCCAGAGTTGGACCTGCTTCCCACTAATTTGTGGGTCAGGATATTGAGCCAAAGACCGCGGACGGAGTCTCTCAAGAAAGTCCCCTAACCACCCACTGCCTTATGGGTTAGGCTATTGAGTCAAACGATCTGGGTGGAGTCCCTCAATCAAACCTCCGAAGCACAGCTACCACCTCGCGTGCGATTAGTCACCAATGTTATCGTTTGCCTGCACGTAAAGTACTTAGCATCGGGTGCTGGAACGTGCGCACACTAATGGACCGAAATTCGAGTGAACGCCCCGAGCAACGCACTACACTGGTCGCGATAGAGCTGGCGCGTTACAACATCGATATTGCGGCGCTCAACCAGACGCGGCTCATTGAGCAAGGTAAGTTGCATGAAGCCGATACTTGCTACACGTTCTACTGGGTGGGAAACGCCACCTCAGCACCACGTGAACATAAGGTCGGATTCGCACAATCCTGTCAGATAAATGACCAGCTTCTGGGTAAACAAACTGGCTTCAGCACGCAACTCATGCCTTCTCGTCTACGACTGCAAACAGGTAAATTTGTCACTTCCATAAACACGTACGGTCCGCCCATGTGTTATCCTCGTGACACGCGTGATCAATTCTACACTCAGCTGTCCTCCATAATACCGTCTGTGCAGAGGAGCAACCGACTATTTCTGCTAGGTGCTTTCAACGCGCGCGTCAGGCGTGATGCATCGTTGTGGACAGATGTCATCGGTGCGCCTGGCATTGGTTCAGCGAATGCGAACGGTGACAGGCTGCTCTCACTGTGTGCCACTCACGGCCTGACGATCACGAACACTGGGTTTGCACTGAGTGCGAGTGATATAGCCCCTAGGACGCACACACGGAGTGGTACGCTCACCTGCTCAACTATATCATCATACGTCAGCGTAACATGCGTGAAGTTCACATGGTACGTGTACTGCGTGGAGCTGAGTGTGGCACTGTTCACAAATTTCTGAGGACCAAACTGCACATGCATATTTGTAAATCTATGTATGCCCGCGTAATTTTATAAGTGTAATTGAATGTCTGCACAGTGGTATGCGAGCTAAGGTGCTGCTGACTGGAGAGACCTCGGATGACATTGCAGTTATCTCTGGTGTGAAGCAAGGCTGTGTCTTAGCTCCTGCTCTGATTAATATATATCTTCATGCAATGTTGTCCTGTGCTTTTGATGGCGCTCGTGTTTGTGGTGTTCTTGTGGAGCATCGTATTGATGGTGGGTTGTTGAACATCCGTCGTTTCGATGCGAGAACCCTAGTCTGTGAGACAACTATCCGTATGTGGCTGTTCGCTGAAGACTGTGTGCAATTTGCAAACAACGCGGAGGAGTTGCAACACATTACTAGTGCTCTGTCTTAGTCAGCGGCTAAATTCGAGCTCAGCCTCAACACAAGTAAAACTGTCTGTCTCTTTCAGCCTTCACCGGAAGTGCAATCTTCAATATTGCCGCCAATCAGCATTGGTACTGAAGAATTAGGAACCATCTCCTGCTACTGCTACCTTGGGAGTGTGGTTTCGATTAACCAGCAGATATACAGTGAGCTGCATTTGCGCGTATTGAAGGCAGCGGCAGTATTCCGAAAGCTTAAGTACCTAGTGTGGAATAACAACCAGCTTATTGTCGGTACGAAACGGATGGTCTAAAAATCCATGTTGCCGTCTGTTCCTCAACATGGCAGCGAAACTTGGACGATGTACCGGCGAGACGTGCGACATCTCGAGCAGTTTCATCATTAGTGTCTGCAACGGACGCTGCGCATTTGTTGGTGAGACAGTGTTGCAGACACAGAAGTGTTGTGCCGAAGTGGAATTCATGCAGTGGGCTGCACTCTTTTGCTGAGCTGGCTCGGTCATGTGTGGTGTGTGGATTCGACGCAGATACCAAAGCACCTATTATATGGACAGCTGAGTGTGGGGAGTCGGTATGCCGGGAAATCGAAGCTTTCTTACCAGGACCTTATCAAAGTGAGCCCATCACGTTCTAATCTTGATTGCTGGTCATAGGAATCGAAAGCGGTTTGTCGGCTCAGGCGCTTACTGCACACAAACTTCAGACATAATCAAAATTTGGTTAAATAACTTTGATCGTCCTTTGAACAACCGTCCAGGAATTGAATGGCCTGAAGCAGCACGATGTGTAGGAGAGTCTGGCAGACCCGATGATACTGGATGAGACGCACAGAGCACTTGCTCAGCTTGCCGTAAACCCTCAATCTCTCTGTGCCACGCGCGTATAACGCTCGGATAATATTTACTTAATTCTCAGACACACCTTTCTTGACTAGACAGACCCAAAATTCACATTGATCAACCGAATCGAAGGCACATTTGCTGTGTCGAGTAACGCGATAACGGTGGGCCGCCAATATGTGTGACGGTGCTCCAACAATTGACGCAAAATAAAGAGGTGGTCGATGTAGCCACGATCCCGATGAAACCCGGCTTACTCCTCACGAATCTGGCTATCACGAGCGCCAGTCAGTATGTCGTCGTTCCCATCCCTCACTCGCAATGCTACTAAATGCCGCGATATATGTTTCTTTTCTCACCGCAATCACAGAGGCCTGACGGTTGCAAATACCTCGTCCCATAGCTGTAAGCATCTGCAGGGTACCCAGTTTACACACTGGTAAGCACTTTGGTGTTTAGTTATTTCACAATCAAGCTTATTTAACACGTGGTGATAAAATTTTCGGCAAGGTGCAATCTATCCTTCTGCTTCCTGAGACTCAACGTGCTTTCAGTACACTGCTCTATAATTTTCAATTTCGTGACTCCCTGTAATCTTCCACATTGGATACACAGAGCACCCATTGTTTTTCTTGGTATCTGCAAAAGAACTTCACATTGATTGTATGTGTACCATTAAGCTCATTTCAGGTTTAGAGTAGTGCCCAGAGACTCTCTGGTTTCTTTCATGCTTACTAAGCATTTTGATGCATCTTGGAACTCTAGTAATGCCTTCGCAAGTTGATTTTCATCCCGTTCAGGCTAATTTATTTAAACCCCGCTGCTGTGCACCAACCCGCTCTAAACTTAGGGTGTTATTTTTTCCCCACATGCTACCACTACACTAACTTACGTTATTCATCACGTTTTCTTTAAAATCCAATAAATTTACCAGCACTACGCGTGAACGCTTACTTGCGTGATATGCATGCGCGTGTTCTTTTTTCTCTTTATTTTCAATTTCATGCTAACGTTATTCCTCCCTACATCCGCAGGGTTAGTGTAGAATGCTGAAAATGTTCTCATCTTGGTTCATGAAGCATTTTGACTTTGGTTGAGTTGTATTTCTTTTGTTTTGGAAGCTATAATTTGTCAACGAGATAATCGACAATCTGCACGTGTTGCTGCAAGGAGGTGGTGAAATTTAACCCTATCTAGTTGACAACACTCGGATAATTTAAAGATTTGAGTGGGGCTAACTAACTATCTGTATTGCTTCTACAGAAACGTAAAATCGTAACACCGCTAACAGAAGCGTCAAAGTTTAAAAATAATACCGTCCATGGCGACGAAAGACGCATTGTTAGCAAAAATGACGAAAAAATGGAGAACATGCGCAAATAGGTGAATAAATCTGAATTAGTTAGTAACAGGCTAACCGCAGATATTCACTGGCAAATTTTATTTGCAGCTGAACCGTTCGATGCTATGTTCGTACGAGTAAAGAGCAGTTTGTAAAAATGAAATAAGCAGGTAGAGATGTGTGTTATAATTTTTGTCGAAAACTAACATTTTGCCAGGGCGGCGGGTAGCCCAGAATACCAAGCTAAGGTAAAAATGAAAGGATGTGTCGGAGGCGTCGAAAGAAGCCTTCGGGTCGCGTCCTAGATGTCTGTATATATATAACCAGAGCTGTTCAAAAGGCGACATTCAAACTGATTAGTTCTTTTTATACAAAATGAAACTGATATATTTTACACGGCACACGACAATCGAGCTTGTAACTCTCCAGGTTGTAGCATACACAATGAGCGTCCAGGGCAGGGACAGTTACGGACGAAATTAATGTTTGAAACTTTGCATATACTTACATCTATTAATCTCAAACGACAGATACACTCGTGTGATGCACTGAACAATACTTTTTCTTTCTTATGACCGAACACTTATGACTGAGCAACACGGGGCCGATAAATACACCTTGTATCCAATCCTTAAACCAGAAAAGCTGGATAGAAATGTAAATTGTATTTTGATGGGAAATCAAAGGATTATCTTGGCTAACTAATAAATGTTTATTTCTGAAAGAATTCACTTGCAAACACAGCTCGTCTTTACAGCACGAGGCAGGATTTCCTTGTTAATATTTTTATCTGCATCAAGGTAATATATGACCAAATCATTCGCCTTGTCAGCCCCACAACAAGGCATAAAACTTCGGACCACGTCTTGGTCTTGCTTCGGCAGCCCTCGATAGTACTGAGAGAGAAGGGTGGTGTGCTGATTGTCCACTGGTATATCGATCACTGTAAAGAAAATAGAAATGGAGAAATCTCGTTACGGTATTGTGATTGTGATGCTACTATTTATAGTTGGATTATCTTGATTGCTAAATCACTTGGACTTTGGATGGATGTAGTTATATATATATATATAATTATATATATATATAGCGTCGCATTTTAATTTTTCCGCAAAGCTATTAACCGGGCTGATTAATACCATGCTCATCATGTATAATCAACACTATCATCTACAAGGCAGTGGACTTGTAATGAATTAGTTTGTCGTTGATTCAACATATTGTAATAAAGGATCCGCCAAATGCAAATTAGTTTTACATATGACAACAATCTGCGAGGTTCAGATGTTAAAGTTTCAGGGGTAAAATTCCAGGCAGATCAACTCTAAGTGAATTCGGATTTACTAAGATAATACTGTTTACCGTAGATCGGTAGGCCACCTCAGTAGATATTCGCAAGTACCACGTGCGGCATCATGTATCCTCTTACTATGGTATAATCAGACATAAGGTAAGAAAGCTTCAATGATTGTACATTTCTACTGGATGGTGTGTGCGGGTGATCTCTCTGACCTACTTTATGATGGGTAAACTTTTGTCAGCAAATGGTTTAGCCGCTTAACAGATACTCGTTTACTGGATAAATAAATAAATAAATAAATAGGGTGCAACCCTACCTCTTTCTTATCTGTAATGTCTTCTAAGCTAAGTACTCAGAATAAGGTAGAATAAAATATTACAATTAGTTATGAACGGACAAAAAATAATTGAATTTGTCTGTGTATACTGCGTCCCATTCGCCCTTGAACAAAGCGCGCGACATATAAAATAGCCCTGCGGTAAATGACGGCAACAATCATATACCCTACTTTAGTCCTCCAGCTACAACTCAATCGCTTGGGTTCTTCTAGTAATGTGCACACTCCGTTGAAAAAGTGACGTGAACCAAACACGAAGAATGTGTGTATTTTAAGATAATATTGACTACCAGGAATTTTGAATGGCACCTGAGTGCAATCAAGCACATGTCGCGATATTGTACTGGATGGTATTACAAGATAGTTATCACACAATGTTCATTAACCTAAATGCAATGACATATCAAGTTAACTTTATCTGAGTAATAGCCAAGCAATAATGAAACAATACTGTGATAGCAAGTGGATTTGTTCCAAGTTGTCGACAATACTTGGTAAGTTGGCAATCTTCAAAACTTGCTTGCTGCAACCGTGGTGAATAAGTACAGTGTCTCCGATAACTGCGTTCCCAAAACAATAGTTCCACTGACATGGCACTTAAGGCACAGCGATCAAAACCTGTTTCTTATCCCGTTTCTGTTAAAGATGCTTTCTAGCCTTCGACGCGCGACAAATGAAGGCTTATAGTACGAATCAAATATGCCGCGGTTGGAATTGTTTTCAGTTTAGTCGTTCAGTTCATCCAACTTGTATGGGGTTGCCGTTGAATCTAATCATTGAAGCCACATAACAATTGTAGCCACGTCATACAAAATATTTTAGCGCGCTGACAGCAACAGGAACGGGCCTCCGCTGAAAAGTAAATGCTTATTTTCATGTTGAACATTGCCATTTTACATGCAAACAGCATATTTGTTGTGGTTTGAAGAGGGCAAGACCGTCATGGAAGCCATTTCAAGCAAACATTTCTGTATTATGATTTCAGAAGGTTTTGTATATTATATTGTATTATATTGTATTATATTATATATTATAGTATGTTATTATTATATTATGTCCTGCGTGGCGCTTTCTTTCCAAAGCTGATTCTTGATGACCCCAGTGTTTTTCTTCGTTTTGAGCTTCACCTTGTTTTCATTTCGCATATGATCGTTTTCTCAGCTATTGACACTGCAGGAGCCCGAAAGTTATTTTCCACCCAAGACTACCCAAAAGGCATGCAGGTGGTATTTACATTACCTAGCCTTATCATTTTATAGCACAGTAGATAACACTGACTGATGTAACCTGTTTAAGATATCTGCATCTTCTACACCGGAACAAAACGGCTCAGTTGTATTTCATTTAAACTAACTAAATCCAAAATGCAGCACTTTTCTTGATGTTCCTAACCGAAAAGGCTAAGGAATTGTTTTGGTCTTTTCGCATGTGCCTGTTTATTCAAATCAGCATCTAAGTGATTTGATAGCCCAAGAGAAATTGTCGCCCGTGTATCTATTGTGTTATTGCACTTGCGTGCCCACGGTCGTCACAAAATTTATTCTGCTATCCACAGTCCTGGGATGGATGGTATCTATAAATTAACATCTAATGCTTGGGCACGCGTATAGTACTGTAATAAGGGTAACTTAATGTGACATTTATGATGGAAGCTGAATGTCACGTGTCAGTATTTAAACAGTACCTCATTTTGCCTAATCACATACGTTGCATCATTGGTTGCTAAAAAATATTTCCTTTGACTACTTTGCTTCAAAGGATGCAAAAAGGGCGTGCTTCCGTTTTGCGCCGCTGACTTAAAATGGCAATTTTACATAATTTTGACCTGTCTAAACTGCGTCAAATGTATCCACAAACATGCGCGAATGCAATTTCTCCTTATACCTCAAGAAGAAAAAGTACACAGTGAAATGTATGTCAGCAACATACAACAACATACACCGCGTAGCTATGCGACCACATTTCACGCTTCCCTTATTATTTGTTCCCCAGATATACGGAGCACAAAATTAAAGAAAGTGGGCATGAAAGGACACGACGATGTCCCAGTTCCTTTGTGGAATGCTGGTACATTTGTTTCAACATATCCACTTTAGCTATTAACTAGCAACCTAACTTTTCCGTCTGTTTTTTCCTGCATACGATCATTATAATAGTTCGGCACACATTCTCAGTGTCTTACCCTTCTTATATCGCTCACCTTTCTCGCGTTGCTGCCGATTTTTATAGGATTCCAGAGAGCCTGGTGTATCGATGTCGTCATAGTAGCAGCCTAGGCACCCTGTGCTTAGGTAATCTAAATAAACTGTCACAGCGCTTGCCATAGGTGACTCTAATTTGCCAGCAGTATTGTGGTATGTGGCCGTTTTTGCATTGTGCTCTTTGGCCAATCCTCCTATTCCTCGCTGCAGGTACACTTAAAAACAACCAGTGAAATAGATTGAACTTGTGCGTTGCACGTGATATACCTACTTTAGCTTTTATTGATTATACGCTTTAAGCTGACCTTTTAACCTAGCCGCGCTTGTGCCATTTTTAGTACACATAAATGAACATCTTCACGAACTCGCAGTTATACTTGGGTACTCAATGCCCTAGTAGCCAAGCTACTGTGCGTAACGCCAATTACTACTGTCTATTCCTGGTATCGGCTACTGTTACCTTAAAAGTTGGGAGGTTGGTCAAGTGATACAACGTTGCTTTATATTTATTCAGCGACAATTCTGTCGTTTAAACCGCGCTGAATGACCATGGCAGTGAACACTGTGATAGTTCATCTGAGCCCTAGTTACCCGACCTTATTTTCGCGCACTGATGTGCACAAAAGGCGAAGTACCGAAATTGCACGCTAACCGGCAGAGAGGGGACGTTGCGGCTACTGAAAGCACCATAATGAACGGTCAGAGCGAAGGGCGGCAAATGGTGGGTATGGTGTGATTAAGACCGCATATGCCTTCAATAGTTGATTGGTGAACTATTGTAAAGTTTTCTCCCTTTTTGAACGCAGTAGGATTCCTTTGATCATTTCCTTTGTAACACTTATCAAGCTCAATTTTACTGACCAATACTTAATAAATTCCAGTATTTAGCGTCATAAACATCTTGAACTTTGTACTGATTACGGAAGCGTAGTGAAAGAGTTGAATGGCATAAGAAGAAATCCACCACACCTAGACTCCGTCAGACAGTCATAACACGCTTAGAAATATACTGTATGGCTGTTTCCTCCTTTCAGCTATCGTCATCAGTGCGAGTTCAATCTGTCCCAATGAGAGAACAAACCCGCTGCCCGAAATCTAGTAATTTAGTCATGACTGTCATCGCCATCCTCGGGAGTTCAGAGCTCTCAGCCAGTCACTGACAACAGTCAAGTTGCGGGTTCTAGCCCAACAAGAGTCAGGTGGAACGGACACTACTGCACATTACTGAGCAGAAGAAACGGTTGTTCAGTACTCTTCCGGGTCTGTGCTGGCTGTCTGACTAAGTCTAGATGTGAGGATTTTCTGTCTTCAACATTCAACTCCTCCTAGGACTCTCCTGTAATTCCCGTAGGTGTTTCCTGTTGATCCATCAAAATTCCGATGGCTATTAAAGGATTTTAGAGTAACTATTTCTCAATACAACTAAGGATCGAAGAATAGGTGGCTATGGTAACGAATGATCATAGGTAGTTGTCGCACTAAGTTATGCAAACACACTTTGAATTTTATAACTATTCATGAAGCTGACTCTTGCTGCTTCCATTTGGTAGGTTGGTTTCATTACTGGATTAACTTCCATGCTACGTGATCCTCAATAACTCAAGAAGTATATTTACGTAGGCTAAACTGCTTATAATGCCATTAATTAGCGGCTTAATTTTGGTAAGCTCGTCGTTTGGTGAGGGGGCTACCCTGTCCTCTGTACAGTAGTGTGTAAGTCAGTGGATAGTGAGCAGCGCTACATGACATCTAGTAACTTATTTATAATGGTCGTTGCCGTCCCCCGTAGCTCAGTGGTCTCAAGCACAGAGTGGCCACATTCGAGTTGCGGGTTCGAGCCCTACCAGGATCCCATTGAATGAGCAAAGCGGACTACTCCCGAAAGAATGGAACGCGCGGACAGTGCGTTTCCGGGCATTGAGGGCTGTCCGAGTGCGTCTAGATGTGACGAATTTTTACATATAAAATTCGTAAAGGTTGCAATTTCTATCCTTATTCTCCGTAACTGATAACAAATGCATTGACACTTAGTTGGTAGTCGCCACGTCGTATATCTCATAACGCTATAGAGCAAACAGGAGTAGTTGGTGGCAGGACGAACGATCTGTAATATGTGTTATAAAGCTGTAACAAGGTAACCGGTCGTCTTAGGTGCTTAACAAAACGTTTCTTTCCTAAGGCATGTATTCCACAACATATTTACGGAAGGTTTAATTTAAACTTACGATCACACCGTCCATGACACATATTCAACGGCAGCATTGGTGGGAGAAAAAATGGCCGAGTAAAGGTGGTACTCTTGATTTGGTCTGCGTTCAATATGTACTTGAATAGGCAACACTTGAATAGAGTACTATAAGGATGATTGAATCCGGGACATCCATCTGGCATTTTGTCATCCATATCATTCTGGAGTGCCGAACGACGGCTGCGTTTGCGACCACCAAATATCTTGTTTACTTCCAAACTAGGTCCCGTATACAGTTGCAATGCCATGTGACTTCCTGGCCACAGAATATTCGTACGTGTGTTGAGACCATTATTAAGGCCATTTGCACTATCGCGGGAGTCTTCTTTAATGTGTGTATACTTGACTGTAAATGTCAACGGGTAAACTTCACCAAAAAACATGTTTTGTAGCTTTTGAGCAGAACTAGTGACATCCCAATAAACATATCGAGGTCTGTAAGGTTTTTCTAGGGGCAAATGCTCCTCGTTGGCCATATTTCCATCATCAAAGTAGCTTTCACGAACATGTGTGATATTGGAACCGGCAAAATGCACTCCAAGCGTTATGTCTCCGACTTGGTCCGACATGACGAGGACCGCAGATAAACGAGCGTAGACCACTGGTCTTTTTGGTAGGTTAATTTCGTTGGTCACAACAGCGCATTCTCTGAGTGGTCCATGTTCGTGCAAACGGCAGTCGCCTAAAGGATCACAGTTTAAATGCGAAATTAAGTGCACATTTTATAAAGTATATCGCACTTCCGCATAAACTAAATTGGCAACCTCTAATTTATAAAGCTTTAATATTAGTCTACATTTTCATTAACACGTTTCGAACATCAGCGAAGGAAAAGTATGGTTGTTGCAGTCGAATCATAATTCCAGCTGCCTTTCCGTGTAATAATTACCATTCGTAATAATTAAGACAGTTATTTGTAAATTATGATGCAGTTGACCCAGATTTTACCCACAAAATTTGATGTTACAACCACATCGAACTGTCTGTTTCATTCAGATCATACATGAGCCGCAATTCGTGTAAAACCTATCTACGTCAGCCAAGCAGGCAAGACAGAGCATCTAATTAATCTAGGGTTGTTTTATACACATCCGCCAGTTTATAACAAGATTAATTTTTATGCATGGACATGTGACTACTTTATTGCTATTTTCCACCAATCTGTCACGTGATGAGTAATGCCTAAAAGCATATCGTACAAGCACCATTTCTTAAGCTATTTCATGTCGCAATATTATTATAGTATGCGGCCGATCGATTATACCGAAGCTCACTGTGTCCAATGCGTACGTGGGTCGAAATAGACCGAGGGTACAATACAAGGCAGCAACATTATAGGTGGTCAGACAGTGTCATCATAACCATCTTTTAATAGACGGAGCTGGATGAAAGCTGCGTGTGGTTTACACCTCGCGGCTAGTTGAACAGCGCTGTTACAGCCGTTGATGGAGTACGGAAGCTGTGGTGACTGAATGCATTACTTTTAAACGTACTGGAGATGGTTTTAAGAACAACCCCGAAGGTGAAATGCAAAATTAAAGGGCAGAGAAAATGTTAGGGACATTCTAGACTAACCACATTAACATCTAACCAGTTGGCTTCCATTAAAGTTTTCGGACATGTTGCAATTACAAAGATGGGGGGAGGCCACCAAACTTTTTCAGTGCAGTTGCATGTATTTTACTTGGTCAATTTCATTGTGACGCAATGATTTGTGATATCTAATTTTCGTCCAATAAGTCTAGATTCAACGTGCCCTTTATACATCAACGTCGAAAGACAATGATAACATTAGTATCCACCTTCATTCAGCGTACAATGAACACAAGGTGGGAAAGAAGAATCGATTTGTGCCTAAGGAAGTACAAATCAGTCTTTAACACTCACACTCCGAGACGATATTTTACACCAACATTCGAGGAGTGTATAAAACTATGATTTATTGTAATATTTTAAATCATTGTTCCAGTTATATTCAGCAATTTAATATAGATGGTTGGCGCGTGTCGCCTGCAACAGTAAGTTAAGTCTACCAGTAAACTGTATTCTATCAACTACGACTAGAAACATTTCTCTGAAGTCAAAGTAGGAAGCGGTATAAAGAACTTGACGTAGGCTCTATGAGACTTTAGGACTATTAAAGCTTAACTAATCGGAAAACCCAGGTACAGCTCGAATTTTTATAAACAACCAATCACCTGCAGAATTTGGAAAAAATACTTTGTTGAGTATTGTCTCAAAAGCCTTCAAAATGCTTCACGGTAGGTAGGCGGAAACTGCAGCGACAAGCAAGTCAAAGACGATATTAATCTCTTCATTTTAACTGATGGTATGTAGATAGCTAATTTTCTTGTACACGCATACAAAAAAGAAATGCATAGGTCCAAGTATAAAACAACCACAAAGCAAAAATATGTGTTCATGGGTAGCAAGTCAATTTCCGAAAGAGCGGTTCCCATTCCGGGGAAGCAAAGCTGGGGAACATAACTTGTGTCATCTGATGCATTGAATCCTCTTAACCCGAGTTAGCTAACATTGTAGTTCGGATTCTGAGTTCGAATGCTTCGTGTAATATAGTTTACGCTAACATTTAGAAACGATTGCAATAATGAACAATTCAGGTAACAGGAAGTATTAGTTAGGAGCGAATGGCTGGCAATTATTTTTTGGTCAGAATCAATAACCAGCTTCTCGACACTCGGTTCATGTCTACACACGTTTTGCATCCTATAGTTAACCACGATCGAAGCATTTTAAACAATAACTTGATCACTTTAAGTGATTTCCTCACACCAAAGTTTACAACACAACTCATAACGAAAACAACCGAAATAAATGGTCATCCTGATAGCGGCTTGCAAAGCAAGTTTTTCATCTAGAGGACAGCCCTATCTTCTTACCATACAAAACATGCGTGGAACTAATTACGTGCTGCGCTATTTCGCAGTTACAGGTCAGCCAGAGTGGTCCGACGCCGTTACATCTGGCGCAGTAGCATCATTCGCTGGCTGAGGTCCGGAGTTAGGGAAGTCAGGAGTTCGAATGCAGCAGGATTTGGTGACCGCGCAACTGATTAACTACACTTGTAGGTACCGGCAGTCCAACATTCTGCTGAATGTGAGGCGACTTTCGGCCTGAGCCTAGCTGCGATGAATCTTGTCAAACTAGACACTAGCATTTATCACATTATAGATTATAGTTATATAATCATGCCTGAAACAGTTATAAATGACCAACCCAAAGGTAGGCTTTATTCACACAAAACTAGTGCATAGAAACTCTGTAAGGAATAGCAAGAAGTCGGCGGAGCCTTCAAATTAGGCCGTACTTTGAGCATCATGTCCGCTGTAGTTATCAACACACAAGCTCACACTCACTATTTTACCCCTTTGTTTTAACACAACCGATTTTCATTGTGCCTATCGCGCCACGATTACCTACGCTCGCGACATTTTAAAACGTGTGCTTTTCAGAACGAGAAACTAGCACTTTTCTCTAGTTAGTCTGTAAGGAACAAATAGTAAAGAATCAAAAGAAGACGCAGTAGTTTCACATGAAAACACCTCGAAGGATGGTGGGCTGCAATTCGAAGGAAAGATCTCGGCTACTGGGTTGTCGTAAAATGTGTCGATATCATATGGCATTAAGTCCCCTAGGGAAGTGAATAATTCACCCATCCAGTATTTTGGGACATTAGATTTTATTATTATTTCTTTCTTCCAAGCGTATTTATACTTACTGATCATTTCCCCCATTGTTTACTCCCCGTGCATACTGAGGTCTGCTTCTGCTTACCTACCCTCCATCCATTGTAGCGCTTGTCAATACAAGTAGGGCCCAGACAATCTAACTGCTTTCCCTCGCGTTTTGCTTCTGAATAACACCCAACGGTTCTTTTGTCTCCCTGTTTATGTGAAGCAACATGTCCCCGGATAGATAAACTTTTACAACGTGGCAGAACTAATCGCACTATAATTTTAAGCAAGTAACTACACCACCGACTACTTACAAATACAAACTTTGTGAAATGTTTGTGCGGTAAACACTTGCGCCGATTCTTAGAAGACGCCAACAAACGCACATTCAAGACCATCGCCGCTTCATTACAAACACGCTCCCATATTGAAGGGCATCTAGTTTGGCACATAATTCTAATGAATTAGCCATTTCATTTGAAAGAGAATGGCAAGAGAAATTTGGTTACCAAGTGCAGCATTGGTAAAACCCTATCGAAAATATTTAGTTTTCAGCCGTGGTTTATGGGTTGGAATTTTTAAATCAAAATTCTTGCCAAGTGAATTAATCACACAACGGAAAATTGTTGTATAAATCACCGATTGCGTCTTCCACCATTACAGGAATTTATTTTAAATTAATCGCAGCATGGAGGGACTCAGGATATGCATTGTATTCGGACAAGTTTCTCAAAAGCGTTTCTATTACAGTTATTGGCTGCTTACTGATTAAAGGAATGCGTATCCAGACAGAAATGCGGATTTGGCTTAGAGAACGATTACAGAGGTTTGTTTGTGCTTTGCCTGTGTTCATCTCAAATGTGTTCAGTAATTGCATGCTAACAAGTTAGGGCTTCAGTCCTGTGCATTTCTCCTGCTATAACTTTGGATCACAAAATCACTTTGTACGCAAAAGTTCACTTTTGCTTAACTACTAGTTCGAACGGAAAATACTGGCACCAGATATCACTGCGAACGCCGAAATTTATTTACACACATTATCTCGATAAGCGGAAGAAAATGTCACGGGAAAGTAGCACTATTGGAAGACTGGTAAAACGCTCGCAAATAACCTGAACTTTGGTCAGTTCTGTGTTAACTATTTGGAATAATATCAGACAAACAATTGAGTGTCCTAATTACAAGTACAATGCCAAGTGTCTGACGTAAACTGGCCATTTTGCGTAGGTTCACCGCAGCTTAACTCAGCCAAACAGCTACCACATCTACATTAAAGCGCCAGACGGCCAACTCGTCCTATTGGGACACGTCAGTAGCGCACATCCGCCGAATCCTAACAGTTTCGGACGCATGACCCATGACCAGCGATTCATGCAACTGAACACTGGGTGACTGAAGCAAACCGCCATGAATAATATCCAACTACAAAGTAGCGCGGCTCATCCTCTACTTTCGTACATTTTATGAACGTGCAGAGGATAAGGCTGGCCTTCAGAACAGGTTCATAAATTTTATGAGAAGGGAGGACAATCTGCGCTTTATCGCAGTTAGATGATTGTCGAAGGTCCGTTGCTATCAATCGTGGCTCAGTTTCGTCATTCAATGAAACGTGGAAGTTGGGTCGTGGGTTCGAATCCGACAGGATTTAGCGGGAACGCCTTACTAACAATCCTCAATGGGAGGAAACGGCCGTCTAGCGCTGTGCTGGATGTGTGTTGGGTGTCTGCCTTATTCAGCCTCGGCGAACTTTACTCACAGATCCACTGAGTCCCTCTTCTGTTCTCAAGTTAGCTTGCTGCTTTCCTTCAGCTTAAATAGAATTCAGAGACGCATTTGACATGAGGTATTCTCAGTACTTGTTAATTGCAACACCTACTACTAAAGCCCATTATCTGCATTTTCCAATTCATGCTTCCAATGAATTAGGATGTAAAATGTGAACTTTTATGCGTAACCGTTTACAAGCAGAAGCTTGTGTTCAATGAGC